GGAAGAGGATAGGGAGGAGAAGGAGCATCTGAACGAGCGGGGAAAAATGCCAAAGAGCGACAACTCCCCCACAAGGTGTTTGGGGCCTTTACTGGCTGGAAAGGGGGGCGATTGACGTCGGGGGGACGGAGCAAGTAACGGGAGCGGGTGGGTGGAGCGGGGGCTGGGGGAGGCGAACCGCCGTAAACTTTTTCAAAGGTTTTTTCCCCGGGGCCCCCGAATGGCAACCCCTGCATATGCTGACGCAACCGTAGTCCCAACCCTTTGGCCCCCCCGGCCACCCCTTGACTTTCTGGCCACATGTCGACATACGGGTTTCGTTTTACTTCCCCGGGGGGGCTTTGGGCGAAAAAATTTCCACAACCCCCCGGTAGAAACTTTTCCCCCGCTACTCCTCACTGGCCGACTGGGCTACTTTCCCCCCGTGGGACACCGGCACCACTACTGGCCCGGTGGTGGTAGGGGTTTCAGTGGAGCTGGTGCTCTACTTTTCCCTGGCCGTTTGGCTCCACTGACACTGCTGCGAAACCCCGCGCCCTTCCCCGGGCAACCCACCGACTGTTTTGCTCGTGGCAAGCTGCACCCTCTTCTTCTCTGATGATGAGCGGAAGCATATTGCCTGTATGTCGACGATGTGCTGTCCAAGTGCGATTCGAGCCTCATCATCAATTGGGGTCTCCGCGTCCACTACTAGCCCCTCCTCGCTGCGTGTGGGTTCAGGAGACATGACCTGTCTCTTAGATCGGCTACCTGAGGCCACTCTCATTCGCCAGTACTTCTTTGCCTGGCTGCTGAATGAAGAGGCGGAATGTATCCCCCCCCGTATCCTGACTGACCTCCTGTTTAGCTCTTCCTCACTGTACAGTGGGCGCTTGAGCCCAACAGCTATGCGATTACTTCGATTGGTGAGGGCACACCAAATGGACAGGGGCCAGGGTCGAGGACACGTGATTTCAGTGGGCATGCTCCCCGGGGCCATGCCAACTAACGGTTTGATGTCTGACTGTTATCCCACCAGACCTGTTGGCTGTAGAGTTGACCAGTGGTGACCTGGTGACGAGGTAAGACGACCAGAGCCAACCAATCGATGACGGCAGGGGTGTCGCGAGTGAGAACACCGATTCCGCTGGATGACACCGGGAGCTACATGGCCTCTCAGGCTGCGAATAGTGCTGCAGCGCATCGGATCCCGTTCCTTCTCATCTGCTGGCCACGTCTGCTCGTCGTCCCTGAAAACTATTGCGCTCCTATGCCAACTCCTTCTGCGTTGGCTTGTTGTCTGACATACTCTTTAATTCAATAAGCAACCCCAAAATAAAGATTCCGGATTTTACTCTTTGGACGTTTTCAATAGTGGTGGTGATGCAGAAGCAGAAAGTCAGTTTATTTTAGCACCACCAAAATAAAGCTACGAGGTTCAATTGACAGCTTGCCGTGTAGGACTGTAAACTGTACGTTTTAGTGTCACTGGGAAAGTGCACTAGATCACACCCAAATAAATATTACAAGTACCACCCTGCTACCACCGAGAAGCCGTGGTTATGTGGAATTTTAACTCTTGTGAACGACACAATAGTGGTTGTGAAAGTGCAGAAAGTCAGTTTATTGTCACACAATACGGGTCCATTGCAGATTGACGTTTGGCTGGAAACTATATGTTTATGTCACTGGGAATGCCTACTAATCACCCAAAAACTATTACCGCCGTCGCATCCGGCGTTGTAAATGGATTTAACTCGTTGAACTGCTAGAATAGTAGGTCGTGTGAAAGCAGAGATTCAGTTTATTTAGAACATATCCGCGTACACATTGCCAGCTTGCACGGTTGGCTTGAAACTTGTAACATTAAAATGTCACTGGGAATGCACTAAATCACCCAATAAATATTACCCGGCCACCCTGCTGTGTCGAGTAAATGGATCTTAACTCATTATGAGACACGTACAATAGTAGTTGGATGTGTGAAGCAGAAAGTCAGGTTAAATTAGACTAAATCGTGTCAATTTGCAGCTTGCTGTTGGCTCGGAAACGCTGTATCGTTTAATGTCAATAGAAAGAACTGCACTACTCACCCAAAAACATATTACCCGCCACCCGGCGTGTAAAAATGGATCTAAACTCCTTTGGAACGTACAATAGTGGTTGGTGAGAGGTGCAGTAAAGTCATTTTATTTAGTCACTACACTCGGTCTACAATTGCAGCTTGGCCGTTGGCGTTGAAACTGTAAACGTTTTATGTCACTGGAATGCATACTAATTCACCAAAACAAATAATTTACCGCCACCGCCCGGCGTTTGTAAAATGGAACTAAACTCTTTGAACTCGTTTACATTAGTGGTTGTGAAGCTGAAAGTCAGATTATTCTAGCACAATCGGTTCAATTGGCAGCTTGCCGTTGGCTGGGAAACTGTAACCTTTATTGTCACAGTGAATGCACTAATCACACCAGAAAAAATATTTACCGCCGGTCACCCGGCGTGTAATTGGATCTAACTCTATTGAACGATTACAATAGTCGGTTGTGAAATCAATATAGATCAGTTTAGATTTAGCACAATTCGGATCAATTTGCAAGCGTTTGCGTTGGCTGGAGGAAACTGTACGTTTATAGTCACTAGAATGCACTAATCACCCCAAAATAATTATTAACTGCCAACCCGGCGTTATGTATATGGATTTAACTCTTTGAATTGTTACAATAGTGGATTGTGAAGCATACATGTCAGTTTAATGTAAGACACAGTTTCGGATCATATTGCAATCCTTGCCGTTAGGACTTGTGAGACAACGTACCGTTTATGTCACTGGAATTGCACTAATCACCCAAAAACATATTACCGCCACCCCGGCGAGTAAATGGATCTCACTCTTTGAACGTACAATAGTGGAATGTGAAGCTGAAAGGTCGAGTTTATTTAGCAGCACAATCGGTACCAATTGCAGCTTGCCGTTGTCTGGAAACCTGTACGTTTAAGATCACTGGAAAAAGCACTAATCACCTCACCAAAAATATTACCGGCCACCCGGCGTGCTATATGGGATTTAACTCATTGAACAGGTAGTACCAAATAGTAGGTTGGTGATGCAGAAAGTCTGATTTTATTTAGCAAAATCGGTCAAATTTGACATCTTTGCCCTGTTTGCTGGAAGGAAAACTGTACGTTTATAGGTCACCAGTGGAATGCACTAATGTGTAACCCAAAAAAATATATTACCGCCAGCCGGCGTGTAAATGGATTTTAACTCTGTTGATACGTAACAATAGTGGGATGTGAACGCAGGAAAGTCAGTTTATTGTACACAATCCGGACAATTGCAGCTTGCCGTTTGCTGTAAACTGTACGAGTTTATGTCACATGGAATGCACTAATCACCCAAAAAATATTACCGCCGAGCCGGCGTGTAAATGGATTTAACTCTTTGAACGTACAATAGTGGTTGTGAAGCAGAAAAGTCAGTTTATTTTAGCACAATACGGTCAATTGCAGCTTGCCGTTGGCTGGAAACTGTACGTTTATGTCAATGGAATGCACTAATCACCCAAAAAATATATTACCGCCCCACCCGGCGTGTAATATGGATATTAACTCTTTGAACAGTACAATAGTGGTTTGTGAAGCAGAAAGTCAGTTTATTAGCGACAAATCGGTCAATTGCAGCTTGCCGTTGGCTGGGAAACTGTACGTTTATATGTCACTGCGGAATGCACCTAATCACCCAAAAAATATTACCGCCACCCCTCGTGGTAAAATGGAGACTAACACTTTGAACGTTACAATAGTGGTTGTGAAAGCATAAAGTCCGTTTATCTGTTAACACAAATCGGTCAATTGCAGCTTGTCCGTAGGGCTGTGAGAACTGTTACGTTTATGTCACTTAGAATGCACTAATCAATCACCCAAAAATTATTAACCGCCATAACCCGGCGTGTAAATGGAATCTAAACTCATATTTGAACGTACAATAAGAGGTTGTGTAAGCAGGAAAGTCAAGTTTATTTAGGCACAATACGGTCCAATTTTGCAGCTTGCCGCGCATTGGCTGGAAACTGAAAAACGTTTGTGTCACTAGAAATGCACTAATCACCCCAAAAATACTTTACCGCGCGAGCCGGCGTGTAAGATGGATTTAACTCTTTGAACGTACAATAGTGGTTTGTGAAGCAGAAAGTCAGTTTATTTTGCACAAATCGGCAAACTGCAGCACCAACTGTGCACGACAGCCACCAAAAAAAAAAAGGGTGTATGTCTGCACTTAAAATTTTCGATTCTTTGATAGCAGCTGTGGCCCTAAGTACACAGATTCTCGTGTCCCCTGAGTAACGATTCTGTGTCCCTGAGTAACGATTCTGTGTCCCCCTGATTAACGATTCGGTGGCCCTAAAGTCTCTTCTGTGGCCCTAACTCTGTCCCTTAATACAGACAGGTCTGTCTCTCTTGAATGACCCGGAGGCTAATGGAGAATTCTAAGAAGACCGATGCGATTTATAGTGCTGTGGCTGGCTTCTGATTGGCTAATGCGATCACATGTCATGCATGCATTATGGGTCAGGCGCGCCTTGTCTGCGCGCCTTTCCCAGAGATCCCCCCCGCCCCATCTCTTCTTCGCTGTCCATTTTCTCTCCTGTTGGGCCACACATGTCGCCGCCATTTTGGTGAAAAATTTCGATTCGTGCATCCGAAGTTTGCTAATCTATCGGATTCGTCGCAAATAGAAGAATTTTTCCAAATCTTCGGAAACGAATTCCACCACACTTCGTCATGTTCGACCTTCGCTCATCTCTACCTACAAACCATGCCTCGTTCCAAAACACGTATAAATCCCCTTTCTTCCCCATTCTGATGCCCAGCTATGAACTTCAGTAAGTCGTCCTCACCACACTCTAGATGCCTAAATGTATTAGGTTGCTGCCATGTGATTGAGCTGATTAGCAATTTGTGTTACCGAGCAAATTGAAAAACGAGGTGTACCTAGGTGGCGGGACTGACCATTTGGAAACTCGGGCAGGGTCGTTGTCAGTAGGGGGGCCCCATTGAGATGCCCCTGGTACCTTTTTCATAGGCTTTTTTGAGTTTGGGCAAGGACACAGGGGCCCCATGATCCCCTATTGCCCGGTCGGTACCCCATGAGTTGTCAGTCCGCCCCTGAGTGTACTTAATAAAGTGGCCGGTGAGTGTATATCTCATGCCAGGCCACATTCAGTAAAGAAATCTCAGAAATTCTAGAGAGCTATAGGGAAGCATTAGGGGGCTATGAGACATAAAAGCATTAGGTGGCTATGAGACATAAAAAACAAAGACTGGTTTTAGCTGAACTGTGACTGTTCAATGGAGACATGATCTGTAGAACCGGGTGTATTGTTACTGTTGTAAAATCAACTGACATCTAAGTACAGAAACTAAGGACGAAGTGACATGTACATAAGAGCCAAGCACTAAAACAATACAAGAACCTCCATGTGTATGGCGTCCCTGACATTTCAGAAATATTCAAATACATTGTACCTAATAGTGTCTGTACTATGCAAATTCCTTTTAGGCGGAAATAAATGTCGCTACCAATGCAGCTGTCTTTATTACAGGAGACCTCTGTCACCAGAACCATTTTCATTTCAGCAATAATCTCCCCATAAGTTATTTTAATATTGTTCAATTTAACATATTTTGTGCATTTTAGTAATCTGTAAAAGCCTCAATTGTGTAGGCATCCAAAACCCTCGAGACTGTTGACTGGGCACCACCATCTTTTGATGTGATGTCAAAGACTCAGAGCTGCCACCTAAGTGATTCTGATTTTACAGGGGTACTCAACCAAGTTACATGGAACCATAAGATTCCGCAAGGATTCCCCAGGAGTGTTTTGCCATGTTTCACTGTTGGCGTGTGAATGCAGCCTCATTTTTTTTTAAACCCCGGAATGTGGCAGAACTCAGTTTTCCACCACTTCAGCAGCACTGGCCCTGAGTGCTCTCTGCTCACGGTACTGAGTGTCACTTTGTAAACAAAGAAGCCCTGGGTTCTGTTTTTTATAAGTGAGGACCTGCTTCTGTGTGTTACAAGTGAGCCCCGGCATTTCTGTGTTTACAAAGTGAGCCTCTGCTTCTGTGTTTACAAGTGAGCCCGGCTTCAGTGTTTACAAGTGAGCCCTGCTTCTGTGTTTACAAGTGAACCCTGGCTTCAGAGTGTTTACAAGTGAGCCCAGCTTCTGTGTTTACAATGAGCCCTGTTTCTGTTTTTACAGAGTGATCCCGGCTTCTGTGTTGTTTACAAGTGAGCCCGCTTCTGTGTTTACAAGTGAGCCCTGTTTCTGTTTTACAAGTGATCCCCCCGGCTTCTGTGTTTACAAGCTTCTGTGTTTTTACAATGTGAGCCCAGCTTCTGTGTTTACAACAAGTGAGCCCGGTTTCTGTGTTTACAAGTGAGTCCCGCTTTTCTGTGTTTATAAGCTCGGCTTCTGTGTTTGGAACAAAAAGTTTCCTGCTTCTGTGTTTTACAAGTAGAGCTCGGCTTCTGTGTTTACAAGCGAGCCTGCTTCAGTGTTTACAAGCGAGCTACAGCTTTGCTGGTGTTTACAAGTAGAGCCCCTGCTTCTGTGTTTACTAAGTGAGCCCTGCCTCTGTGTTTACAAGGTGAGCCCTTCTTTCTGTGTTTACAAGTGAGCCCAAGCTTCTTCTGTGTTTACAAGTGAGCCCGGCATCTGAGTTGTTACAAGGTGAGCTCGGCTTCTGTGTTTACAAGTGAGCCCGGCTTCTGTGTTTACAAGTGAGCCCGCTACTTCCTGTGTTTACAAGTGACAGTAGTGCAGCTCTTCCAGTGGCTCCCACAGAACCCTCTCTGCCATTGTATCAGGGCCAAGACAAGGGAGGGGCAGCTTGTGCGATGTGGGATGTGATGATGTGGAGATGTGGATGAGGGGAATGCAGGAGGTAAGGAGCTGTGGAAGAGGGCTGAACCCTGCACCCTGTGCATAACGCATCCCTGTTTATCCTATGCCCAGTAACATTTTAGAAATTCTGGATCAACCCTCTGCACACTGCTATATACCCTTTCTAGCAAACTTTGCAATACAAAACAGGGATTTTTTTTTTAGTTCATCACATATTTGCAATACATGTTTAAGCTTTCCAGTCCTACTTTAGCTCTGCAAACACAAAAGCTACTGTGGACACCATTCCAACCTGGGGCAACAGACACAAAGTGGGGGAGAGCTAACATGTATTTAGGTCTGGTCCACTCACTGACCTGCAATGCAACAGAATAAGATATACCTGTGCTCAAATCCCAATAGCTTGTATCATCCTCAGGAGTCGCTAGAAGACCTTGGGTCCCACAAGTTCTGCACAAGCCATGCATCATCACATCTTCACAAAAGCTTGCATCCAGAGGTCAAAAATCAGTCCTTGAGCTATAGGCATTTTGTGTTGTTTTGTTTAGGGAATTTTGAACAGGGATAGGGTTAGGGGTTTTGTACAGGAGTGCCCAAGGGTACTGATAAGCTAGAGACAACTCCTGGAACTATTTTTAGCACCCTCCTAGTTTAGGTAGGGGGAGCTAGACCCTGAGGTTTTATGTTAGGAACTGATTAGCAGCTCAGGTGAGATAGTGTAGAGGGGTCAAAATGTTGGTCAGGACCTGAGAGGACTCTTGCACACCGAGCCTCCTCTGGAATTTTCCCTCTGCATCTGAGGCTTTACGGAGGTGGGCCTTTGGACGGAAGACAGATGCGGTGGATCTGAGGAGTGCTGGGCAACACTAACTGAGGGGACACCTAAGCCATATATATGAACAGGGAGTGCTTGTGCGAAGGTGGCTTGGACTCCCTTAAAAAGTGTAAAGAATCCCTGCCTCAGTAGCAGAGGGAGTAGAGTGGAATAATGAGAAAGTGTAGAATGTGAGGTTGCAAGTGGAAGGCTGCCATTAGGCACTCTGTGGGATGGGCCCATGCCTTGCAAGCCTGAAACTGGGAAAAGGAAGAAAACTCAGGATCTCATAGCCCCCTCTGAGGAGATGGAACCCACTTGCATGACAGGGAAAGGAGCCAGCCCAGCTGATAGGCCTGGTAGCAGCAGCCCCAACCCCAAGTGTACAAAAAGAGGCGAGTGATACACCTCACCCCCCCGGGTGGTAGGGGGAAAAGGGGACTCTGTTAAA